TATGAGTACGTTAGGATGCCTTTCGGACTCCGAAACGCACCATCCACATTCCAGAGAGTGATGGACAGTGTTCTCAAAGACCTTATAGGAACAGTTTGTTTAGTTTATTTGGATGAAATAAAAGTCTACTCCACCTCTTTGGAGGAACATATGAAAAATCTAAAGCTCGTTTTCACCAAATTGAAAAAATCCAATCTAAAAATTCAACTGAATAAATCAGAATTCTTAAAAAAAAAAATCGCCTTCCTAAGACATATTGTAACACCAGAGGGTATTAAACCAAATCCGGATGAAATAGAAGCTATAAAAAGGTACCCTATACCCAAGAACCAAAAGGAAATTAAAGCCTTTTTGGGACTCTTGGGCTATTATAGGAAATTCATTAATAATTTCGCAAAAATAACCAAGCCTTTAACGGCCTGTTTAAAAAAGGGCAGCAAAATAGATTTCAACAGTCAATATACTAGCGCATTTGAAATGTGCAAGACTCTTTTGACAAACGATCCCATTTTACAATATCCGGATTTCAAGAAACTATTCGTTTTAGCTACAGACGCGAGCTTGTTTGCTATTGGCGCTGTACTTTCTCAAGGGCCTATCGGAAGCGATAAACCAATTTGTTATGCCAGTCGCACTTTATGTAACTCCGAAGTGAATTACTCTCCAATAAAAAGAGAATTCCTTGCCATCGTTTGAGCAGTAAAATATTTTCGCCTATACCTATATGGGCAAAAGTTCACTATAGTGACGGACCACCGTCCTCTTACTTGGGCAATGAGCCTTAAAGATACAGAACTTGTTAGATGGAGGCTTAAATTAGAGGAATTTGATTATGATATAGTGTATAAAAAAGGAGGCCTTAACACTAACGCAGACGCCCTCAGTAGAATCCGACTTGACCAACAACAAACAATTGACATAAACATGAACGATGACTTCAATAACGACAATCACACAAACCTTGCAACATCAGGAACCACGGTTCACTCCGCAGATGAAAACCTCGCATATGGAATTTTCATTTCGGAAAGGCCATTAAACGAATTTAATTTTCAATTAGTATTCCAAATTCAAGATACAGAACCTTCACTTGACACAAAAATACTCTTCCAAAACAAACAACGACAGATGGTGACGCAAACAAACTTCACTCAAGAACAACTAATAGCATTTTTAAAACAATACCTACCCCCTAACAAACAATGTGCTATATCGACCGACGACCAAACATTCAAATATATACAAGAAGTATATTCAAAATTCTTTGCAAACAGTAAAATTTTCAAACCAATACGGTGTAAAGAAATCCTCATAGACGTTACTAACGACCCCGAACAGGAGAAATTAATTAGACAATATCACTCCGATTCGAATAGATGGAGGAATTCAGGAAACCTTTTTGCATCTCAAAAGAAACTACTATTTTCCAAATATGAAAAACAAAATCCGGAAAACACTTCAACATTGCGAAATTTGCAATACGCAAAAGTATGATAGGAATCCTCCCAAGCCGGTGTTCTCAGCGACAGAAACGCCTCTAAAACCATTGGATATTGTACATATAGATTTATATACAATAAGAGGAAACCAAGTTCTAACAATTATTGATAAATGCTCCAAGTTTGCAGCTGGTTACACTTTGATTTCTCGTAACAGCATTCACGTCCTAGAAGCATTTAAAAATGTTGTGAGCCTTTTCGGGCCCCTAACAAAAGTGGTTTGTGATCAAGGCTCAGAGTTCAATTGCACTATTTTCAAAGATTTCTGCAAACAATTTAGTATATTACTTCATATGACTTCGTTTCAACAAACTTCAAGTAACGCTCCAGTAGAAAGATTGCACTCCACTCTAACAGAAATATATAGAATAATATTAACAAAAAGAAAATTAGACAAAATCGAGATAGGTCATAATGAAATTCTTTCGGAAACCTTCTTGACCTATAACAATTCAGTTCATTCAGCAAAGAAGTTGACACCATACGAATTGTTTTTTGGCAGGCCTTATAAATTTGTTAAAAACTTAAATTTTAACTCCGAACATGACTACTTGCAAAAACTCAACGGATTACAAGAGATAATTTATCCAGAAGTTCATAATGAAGCAAAGAAAAGAAAGGACAATATTATCGAGAAATTAAACAAAAATAGGGAAATTCCAGAAGACATTGCTGAAAACAGTAAGGTACTTCGAAAAGAATGCAGAAGAAACAACATTACACCACGATTCACTAAACACACAGTACAGAAGAACACTAAACACACAATTCTTACAACCGACAATAGAAAAATACACAAAATGCGACTAAGACGAAAATCAAAAAAATTTAAATTCCCAGGTGGATATCACTAACTAAAGGACAAATGTTTGACTACAGAGACCTGACAGGAAACGACGGAATTCTACCACTTCATTTGGTACCAGCCAGACTTATAAGAAGTCACAACAATTTTTATCACATAGTGGACCTACTTAAATACGACCGAAATATTGCAAATATGGAAAGTGCTTTGACGCTCTTTGACAGCTACGACTCACAACAACAACAAAACTGAAACTTAACCAACAGAAGCAAAAACTTGATACAATTAATATAAATATATAAGAGAGGGCTCATTAATGGAATAGGGCACATGGTCAAATTCATTACAGGTAACATGGATGATAATGATGCTCAGCGCATAAGCGAGCAAATTAGTAAAATACAAGAAGAACAAGTATCTAACTCTGATATCATTCAGTCCACACATACACTTAATGAAAAAATGATAGAAAGATTTCATAATATTACAGAACATATCAATAAAATTCAAGGCCAAATTCAAACTTATCTTAGGAGAAACGAGAACTCGACAACATATTTCGTTAAGTCAACAAACGACATGATCCAAGAAATTCAATATCTAAACCATTTAAACTATAATATAGACTTACTTTCGACTCACATCAATGATATTGCAGATGCGATTATGGAAGCCCGTTTAGAAATAGTACCGAAATTCATCCTATACCCTTCAGAAATCGGAATAATCCAAAAACACCTCCAAGAACAAAAAATTAAACTGAGTTCAATTAGTAATATCTACGAGCTACTTAGTCTCCGACCTTATTACAATGACTCCCAAATAATTTTCAACATCCAAATTCCAAAATTTGACCGCAATCATTTCCAATACTACCACATTATCCCATTACCAATAAACAAAACACAAGCCATTATAACGCAGGAATATACACTCTACAATGAAAGGATTACGCTAACAACTAAGTCACGTTGTATTAAAATAGATAAAACATTCTTTTCTAAATCAGATAAGATCAAGGAAGATACAAACTGTATTAAAAATCTGTTAGAAAATAAGAATGCACTCTGTAAATTTAGAAATACGAGCATGATGCAAACATTATTCCAGCCGGAGGTAAACACCATAGTGGCGATCAACATCGAAGAAAGCAAACTAGAAACAACCTGCCAAGCCGCCAATCGAACGGTATCGGGAACGTTGGTAATCCACTACAGCGGTTGCAGGGTAACCATTAATGACGACACGTTCGAAGACGACTGGGGTACATTCTGGGATGAAATTTACATTGCCCCGGTACCTCAGGTGAACATCACTAGTACCGGTATCACCACAACATTAACACTGGAAAAACTGAAGGATGACAACCTCCATATAAACTATAGAATCAATTACGTTACGTCCACAACACGTGCCGATCCAAATTCGGCACCAGCAAAGCCAGCCCGAGTCAACAGCCTGGGAATGTTGCCACAGCAGACAACTACAGTTCCAACATCAACAGGCGGGTTGCCACCAACAACACCGGATGAGTTCCAGACGTTGCAAAACTGCAGACGTCTCAAATTGCAACATCAACGGACGGCCGCTGGTGACGACCCAAAATCGCTGGATCAGCATAAACCAATTGTACATGCCCGTAGAATATGCCACAATTATTGTAAAGACAAAATCTAAAGTTCAGAATAAATTCGACATTCAATTCAAACGGTTGTGTTTTTAATTAAAACCTTATATTTTCATTTCTTATGTTCGTTTAATAAAACTTTGATACCGCTCCCGAACATAAGTCGCTCGGCCGCTGCCTGTCTGCTCAAAACTACTCAAAGCCTCAAAGGCCTGCACGATACTGCTCAAGGCAGCGCTGCATGTGCGTGCAGCAGCGAGCAGTGACATCGTTTTACGAACCCTGAATTAAACTGTTTAAGGAGATTTTGTTGCCGGCTGACGGTTTTTACCTACTGCTCTCGTAGTCGGAGGTGTGGAACTGGAACTTGGGACTGGTCTTCTTTAAAGTAGAAGGCGAGGAGGTTTTCCAAATAGTCGGAGTCGATCCTGAACTGGGTTTGGGATACTAGGAGGGAACTGCCAAATATTTTTGGTGTCTTTTTCACCGTCGATTGACATGCTAGGCGGGCTTGAGGCTTGTAGTTTTAAATTTTAATTAAATTTATATATTTTTGGCAAGTTCAGCCACTAATTTTATATATGATGAACTTTAATAGTTCAGGAGACACAAATTTATGTTTAAATTTGTTAACTCGGCTGGAGATGCTGAACTAGTGTTCAGGGAATAATTTGTTTTTAAATTATTATTACTTATTAATGTTGTATAAAAATTTTATTATTTCTACTGGAGGCGCTGAAATGTTGCGAAAAAATAACTGCAGCCAGTAACAATTTGTTCTACCCCAATTATAGAATTGAATAATTTAGGTGGTACTCGTGACCATTTAGGTGGTACTCGTGACCATAATTCACTGTCGAACTTGATAATCGGGTGTCGATAGTTGTGGATGCGCACCACTAATTCTCGAAATAGGTAATTGATAATTTTAAGCTGCAATTTTTACTTTCTCGATATTTGCCGACTACGCGCGTTCGTGGTTGTGATGCGGGTGGAGCATGCGCTTGCGTTTGGAAACACAGCAAGCTATGGGCATGCGCAATCAGCACAGCTGAGTAAGTGTTTACTAAAAACAATAAGTCCAAACGGCGGTCGCTCACTGCACACAATAATAGTAGTGCGCAGAATCGATTTTACTATTGCGTATTGTATAATGTGCATATACATACATATGTATACATACATACATATATTGGACGGATGGAAATATCGCAGGCGTATGCAATATAAAGTGCAAGTGTATATGTGCCGCGGCAGATTTATCCAATATAATTATGTGCTTATGCCAATTGTGTGTGTTTCCCGTATGTATGTATATCCGTGGATCGATCTTGAAACTGCTAGGTCGTAGCCAGTGATAGCAGGCTGTGCATATGGACTATGCGTTGTGGCCAAAAAGCACCGGAGGCTTCTGGAAGTCAGAGGACAAACTGTCTACAAGATGGGGTTGGTAAGTGGCAACGCAAGAAAATAAAGCAAGTGTTACTTAGCTGTTTGTCCTATTAGGAATCCCATGGCGCCAAGGACAACTTGGGGCGAACGGATGAGGACTGCACAGAACGTGGGGTGTATTAGGAGGTGCAGAACTTCTGATCCGGCACGAAGGACCATGTTAAGGAGTGAGGAGCCGGAGTAAATTCCCAAAAAATGTGGAGACGCACGACGTTTCTTTTCACTTGCTTGAGCCTAAAAAAAGCCCCAATAATTCAGTCTCCAAATGAACAAATTTAGTTTTATTTGTATTCTTTTATTGATTTTACTTAGAAACCAAGTTTTAAGTCGATCGGTTGAAAAATGTGGATTTTTCAAACAAACTTGTGATAGTCTATCGCTGTGATAACTTTTATTCAAAAACCTAGTGTTTACATATTGCTGTTTGGTTAGTGAATTTTCGAGGAGGTAAGCTAAAGCTTCATCAGGTGTAATTGCAGTCGCTTTTTGCATTTGAAGTTCTTTTCTCAATTCAGTTGGATAATCAGGCCACGTCTCTATTATATTCTTTCTTAGCAGAAACTGCTGCTGCATGTATAAGAACATTTTTGTTGTATTAGTTTTGTGTGAGTGTACATGGAACACACAGGGAGGCGTGGCAGACCCCATAAAGTATATATATTCTTGATCAGGATGAAAGGACGAGTTTGTTCATTTATTATGATGCACTCCCCACCTTAAATTTGGTAGTCACATCCAGTTAGTGATTATATATCCGTACTACATACAAGTAAAAAAACACGCATAGACACGATTCTGATGTAAATGTATGTATGGAATATTTTATATTTAATTTATTTAATTAATAAAATTAATTAAATTTTATTAATAAATTTTTTTTTTGTGGGGTGGTACAGGTCATTTAAGAGTTGAGCCTGCTCTACTTTAGCATTCCTTTCTTGTTTTGAATTAAGGACTCAAAATTTTGGATTTTTTTTAATCTATTTCTCTTTTTTTGTCACCTTCAACATGGTATTTTGCAATTTTTGCATAACTCCAATCTGCCACGGATTTTATTTGGCAATTGTTGCTCAAAATATCAATGAGAGCGCTTTGAAGAAACTCGAACTGCCCTGAATATTAAAGAATTACGAGAAAAGGGACAAACGGACAAAAGATGTTATTTTGTGATGAATAACAACATTCATTAGTACAAACTGTCGTATTTAGTTTTTGTCAGCATGTGTCAGTTCTTTTGTTATACTCCAAGAAACACTGGGGACGCATGTTTATTTTCTACGAACAAAGACATAAATTGGTCATTATACATGAGTCAAAGCTTAGGACTACAGATGCATGTATAAAAGTACTATTAACATAAGAAACTAATACCTTGGTCTTTATATTCCATATTAAATTAAATGAATTGGCTTTAATTTATTTGACTATCACGCACAAATGCACTATGGTTTTTTCCCCCGTTTTTTTGGAAGAAAGTCCAAAAAAAATTTTGTCCAAATATAAAAAATTATATTTTTATTTTATTATAAATTGTTTAATTAAGCGAAAATTAAATGGCAATGATATGGCAACACCATTTTCTTGGCGCGCAGTCAAAGTTACCTGATTGTGTGAAACACATGTATTTGCGATTTTGGCAGCAATTTTTGGTAAACTTTCAGAGCTTGCCGAATTAAGAAAAGAACCCACAAAAGTTAAGTTATATAATGGAAAACGTTCATCAAGGTATGTAAAATTATAACCCAAAACTGTTTTTAAGCGATAAAGTGTGTTCGTGTAATAGTGCCATGTGTTGCTCATGCGTTTTTAAAAATTAACCTTTTTAAGTTGCGCTGTGTTTCCTTGAATAGTACTGGTAAAGTAATGATAAAGAGTTGCAAAAAGTTATACATGTGGAAATACTAACTAATATATGTTTATTATGGAATTACTAAAGAACTTCGGGCAAAAAAACCATAGTGAAATGTAAGCAAATAATTTGGCGCCAATTTCTTTCTCATAAACAGCTGATGGATTGTTTACTTTAACAGCTCACAAAAAGTATTAGAGAAACTTTTAAAGCTTTATTTTTAATTTTGTACTATGTGTACGATGTATTTAGTTAAATACAAAAATATGATATATCCACGTCGAAATTTCGACTTTATGCCAAAAGAAACGACTTCTGGACCATAGGGCGATGATTTTTTCTCCACACGTTTTCAATTTTTGTAATGTTATCAAGAAGTTTTTTTACATTATTTTCTTCAAATGTGTAGCTTTCATTTTTAAGTTTGTGTTTTATGTGTTCGTATACGGTTTAGCCTTTTGAACCGTTTTTCAAACACCAGATATCGAGAAAGTTCGCCTTAATAAGTTGTTCTTACATAAATTTTAAAACAAACGTTTAAAAAAGATAAAAGATAACAATATAAAAAGCAGAACAATTAAAATAAGTTTTGGAACATACATACTAAAGATGGGCATGGGCCGGCTATTTTCGGCCCGACACGACACGGCCACAAAATGAACCTTTGGAAACATGCACGCACGACAAAGATATTTCTAAACACGGCCCAACACGAACATGCCATAACCATTAAATGTAAGAACAAACAAGTAGAAAAGCTAAAGTCGGGTGTCCCGACGTTGAAATACTCTGTACTCGGTATTCGAACTCACGTAAAGGGTGTATAATTGCACATTTACAAAGCAATTGCGTCTATGTAAGTGTATGTACATATGTCTATGCGCGTCTATTCGTGTCTGTGTGAGCAATTTGACATGATGCTCTTGTACATGTCATGTACAGAGTATAATGAACACTTACCTGGCATCTGAATTTGGAAAGGGATTAGGTACGCTGTGCAAGTGTGCATATATATATATATATATATATATACATGTACTCGTCTTGTCAGGCTGATCAAGAAACACAAAATTTGGCAAACAAGATGTCTTATGTGTGTACGCTGTGCAAGTGTGTTTTATTTTTTTGATTTTCTTCCCCATTGGGGCTTTCCCGATTTTTCATTTGTATTATCGCCTATATCTCGGAGACTGTAAGAAGTAGGGACACCAAATTTTAGTCCCAGATGCCTTATGTGAATACGCAGAAAGTGTACTTTGGAATTTCCCTCCCTCTCCCCTCTCCGCCATTATCACTAATTTTCCATAACTCCCGTATTTCTTCGTATTTTTCAATTAAATATGCCCAGTTAGTGATTATGAGTCCGTATGCCAAGTTTCATATTTATAGGCCGATTTAACAGGAAGTTATAGCCCTATATGTATATATGACCATACAGTGCCCGCAGCTTTTGTTATTGTTACCGCTTTGCACAGGCATACGAGACATACATAGACACATACAAACACACACATAGACGCATAATTAATCTACACATATGTACAGAGTATTTCAAAGTCGGGACACCCGACTTTAGCTTCTATACTTCTCGCTTTGCTCCATATCGCCAATTCTGCAGTAGTTATACACTTAGATTCCTCGGCGTTGGCTCTTTTTCGAGGTAATCTGTATTCAAAGTTTTGTGGGCAGCAATTGCATCCTCTGTGGCTGTCAGCACCACCTGCTTATATGGGCCGCCACCAGTAGCCCTGCTCGGCCTCTTGTTTTTCGCAATTTTGTTTTTATTACCTGTTTCCAGTCCTTCCAAACCGTTAAATCAATATGCATTAATTACAGAAGTATGAATTGCTGTATGTGGATGATGTCTTACTCGTCGCTATTCTTCGACGGTCTTACACGAAGGGCCGTTTGCGTTCAAATTTGCTACAGCAACCCTATTTCTTCGCTATAGCCTTGCGTAATGTAGGGGTGTGCTTCCATAAATTGCACGAAAATTGTGCCGATCTATGTTTTCCCCTGCAAAAAACTAACATTTGAATGTTAAAATGACAGTTTATTAACATTCACATTTTCGCTAACAAACAGACCTGCCCACTCGGCGACTAAAATTTTCGTTTTAATTTAGTAATTTGTTAATTTAATAATATTTACATGGGATATACAAAATATTTTTGATGCAGGTTGTTCAGAAAACCAATCTGTTGTGCCATAGAAATGTCTTCAGCCCAAATCTCGCCGCAAAACAAATTCTCTGTTTATGTGCAGTTTCAGCAGCATCAGAATCGTGTTTAAGTCAAAGCAGCAACAATCGTTGCAAGCTCTGCAGAGATTACATTTATTGCTATAACTTTCTTCAAAATTGACTTATCACGATGATAAGTACTTGGCATACGGATACATAATCACTATCGGGATGAAGTTACCAAAAAATTCTAAGAATAACGAGTTATGGAAAATCACTAATAGTGGAGGAGTGGATCGACCTTTTTTTTAGAAATTTCAAAATCAGCCAAAATCTCTAAGCGCAGGCAGCGCAGTCGTCAGCAGGAATAATAACATAATAACATTTTTTATAACATCATTCTTGGCGGTATCCATAAATTGGTCTAATATTGCGCACTGTTTTGACGATCTATGTTTTCCATTACAAACAAGAGAGAACGCTACAGTCGAGCAAGGCCGACAGTAAAATACCCTGTACCCAGGTAAACTTCCGACACTGAGGTATATGCGCCAATAGCATCAGCAGAAAGAGGAAGAGCGAACTTGTTGCTGCAGTTTGGTGGGGTTGTACTGGCGAGAATTTGTTTCGCTCATAACTTTTCTTAGAATTGACCGAATTTGTATATGTGCAATTAAACACCGTTTACGTGAGTTCGACTACCAAAAGAGGTAAAATTGATCAAACTTTTTTTTAATTCTCTTACTTTTTTTAATTTCTATAATTATTCTAAACATATGTACAGAGTATTTCAAAGTCGGGACACCCGACTTTAGCTTTTTTACTTGTTTTGTTATTGCGATAGAAAATTTACATTTGTTTAACAAAAACAAAAGAGAGCGCTACAGTCGAGCAAGCCCGACAGTGAAATACCCTACCCAGACAAACTTCCGTCACTGAGTTATATGCGCCCATAGCAGAAGCAAAAAGAGGAAGAAGAAGAGCGAACTTGTTTGGTGGGGTTGTACTGGAGAGAATTTGTTTCGCTAATAACTTTTCTTAGAATTGACCGAATTGAATAAAATTGAATTTTAAACTAGTGTAGATAACTGTACATAGATTGCGGACATGTCTAGATCGATTTCTCTCGTCATGCTGATCAAGAATACTTATATATACTTTATGGGGTCGGAGATGCTTCCTTCTGCCTGTTACATACTTTGCACAAACCTAATATACCCTTTTTACCCTACGGGGTATACAAAGAG